AGAGAGAGAGAGAGAGAGAGAGAGAGAGTCCCACCCCACTCTCCTCGCGCGCCGGACCCCCCGCTCCGGAGGGCGATCTCGGGAGGAACGGCGGGCGTCCCGCGGCGAGGTTTGCGCCCCCAAACCCTACCCCTCCTCTCCGTCTCGCCACCGCATCTGTAGGTTTTGGCCCGGTAGCTACTGCGCGGGAGGCTGGGGGCCGAGGCCACCGGCCCGCCATGTTTCCTGTCAGATTCGGCTTCCCCCCTTTCGGCGCAGAGCTGGAATCCCCGTTGATTCATCCTCACGATAGACTCGCCATTTCCAAGTTTTTGTAGCGACTCTACTTTGTACTAAGAAGACGACGGAATGGAACCCTATTTCACCGCTAAATCGTTGTCAACTCTGCGGAATTACCCCGCAATAACGCGCATTACGTCCTGTGTATTTGTTTGGGGGGCGAGAGCGGGAGGATTCCGTCTCAGAAACCCTCGATCTCATCCAATTTTGCATCCATTGGCACTTAGTCGGCTTGATTTACGCTGAATATTCAGTTAGCTCCTAGCCTCCTAGCACATGACATTGCTTTGCTTCCTGTAGTCCTGTACAAGCCGTGCACAACCATTTTCACGATTCGCAAACCTTAGCCCTTTGTTTTGGCTCTAAAGTCTAAACCATGCTTATGTGCATTTACTCCCTTCTTTCTCAACACAGTATGAGGCCCTGTTTGGTTCATAAGTCCTAGGACTTTTTCTAGTCCCAACTAAAAAGTCTCTAGTCCCTAAAAAGTCCCTCCCTGTTTGTTTCCAGAGACTAAAAAGTCCCTAGTCCCTTCCTAGAGGTTATTAAATGACCATGTTGCCCATAGTATATAGAAAAATAACAATCAAACAACACCATGGGGTGGCGGGCCATTGAATGCATGGAGGGGCATTGTTGGAAAAGTCCCAAAAAGTCCCAAAAAAGACTCTCCTTGAGAGTCTTCTTCATTTAGTCCCAAATGCCTAGTTTAGTCCCTAAAAAGTCCCTCCCGTTTGGTAAAAAAGTCTCTAGAGAGACTTTTTCTAGTCCCTACACAAAAAAGTCCCTGGAAACAAACACCGGCTGAATGCATGCTCACATTGTATTTTGTTTCTGAATTGATAAATGCAGTTGTATTGTACGGTTGTCCGCGACGACTGTTAATTGTGGCAAGTTGGTGAGTATCTGGAAGCTGCAATGACTGAAAACACCCAGGGCAGTGGCCGGCGGGCCTTTGGAGACCTGACGAATGTCCTTGGCAAGCGGCCAGCCTCATGCGATCTGGAGAAGAATGCAGGTGGAGTCAAGATGAGTCGGGTTGAAAAGGTGGTTGACCCTAGGAAAGAGTCTGATGAAAAGGCAAAGGCCAATGTTGGGGCATCAGGAAACCTTATTGAAGTTTTGGTTGATGGTATTGGCAAAGAGGATTTTGCAAGGACTTCAATTTTCCGTGGAGCCAAGGTTCAGCACATGGCCGCTCAGGCAGCTGGGCTACTATCCAAGGATGATGATGATGTGAGGAATCGTTGTGTATCATTGGATTCTTCTGGCCTCAACGACAAGGCGGAGTCTTCCTTGGAATCAGAGGGTGGCTGTGAAGGGGAAGATGACGAAGACACTGATAGTGAGTTGCTGCCATATGCCAGTGAGGCTAGTAAGATTGTAATTAATGATAAGACTAATGAGGGTGAGTGTCTGACTCAAGAGGAGATGGTTGTATCACCAGGAAATCAGAATCCGCAGTCTTCATTTGACGCTACAGCTCGTGATGACATGGCATGTACAAATGTCCAGCATCCTCCAATGGGGGTTGGTGGCTTGGAAAAATCATGTGCTACAAAGTCTTGCACTTGCTCTTTCTGTCTTAAGGGTATGTTTACATGAATGTCTTGCTTCCGCATGTATTGTACATGCCATTATGATGCCATGTGAACATACACCTTATCTCTTCATTCCTGTTCGAACAGCTGCTTTTATGTGGACTGATCTCCATTATCAGGATGCAAGAAGCCGGCTTGGTGGTAATTCTTGGCATATTCAATTCTTTCTCTCTCTCTAAGTAGTATGTGTAGTGTGGTTTCTTTCTTTGTTCACGATTGATCATTTTACTAATATTGATTCCATCTCTGTCTAACCTTTCGTTAGCATTGAAGAAGAGCATAAAGTTTGCTAGATCGCTAGAGGCAAAGAGGCAAGGAAATGAATTCAATGCAGACAGATACTCGAAAAGAGCTGCAGAGATGGGATTCGAACTATCTCAACAACAGAGATCACTCTTTCTTCATACTGAAAATGCCCTTGTTCGTGAATCTGCCCAGCTCGTAAGTTGTTTTATACCTACAATATTCCAACTTAGTCAAAATTATGTTGACGGTGTCTTGGTATCAATTTGTATGGTGTCACTGTGGTTAGTAGCGAAAAGTTGTGATTGCCACAGTTTGCTTTCTGTGTAAATGTCTGTTTGCTTGCACTGGTAAATTTTGAGGGACCATTTGTTTGTTAGTTCGCGGAAGATCAGTTACGAATTTAGCCCTGCTGTGGTACTCAGTAGTTTGACCTTCAATTTATCATTACATTTTTTGGGCCAACACAAAAGGCAAATACTTCTGTCCTCACAAAATATTTCATGACCAGCTCAAAACCATAGTTATTCTAAAGATACTCGTGTACTTGATATTTTTTAGTGCCTATCTAGGCATGTTAAGTAGGCAGTTGGTGTCATTTTTTGCCACATATTGGATGATGTATGTTACCACCTATCTTTTCATCTGTATTTGCTAAAACATACTCCCTCCGTTCCAAAATAGATGACCCAACTTTGTACTAAAAGTTAGTACAAAGTTGGGTCATCTATTTTGGAACGGAGGGAGTAATTGCTAGGATTCTTCCAAGTTGATAACCTGTTGTGGCATACTAGTTGTAGAAACAACAGAGAAGTACATGGTGTCTCACACAATGTAGTCGCAACAATGGTGTGTACGACGGTCTTATAGCGAAGATTGTCGTACACCGACAAAATTGACAGTTCGACGTTTTTTGTATAGGTTCCGTCGCCTTGTCAGATTGTGACCTAGCTCTATGTCAGAGAAGGCGTTGAGGGAGGCTGACCGTCAAGTTACTCCTCACACCATTGGTGCCCTTGAGTTTATTCAACTGAGAAT